CAAACTGAAATAGAAGGATTTTCGTGCATTATATTATAAGATCGTGTACAAAATTTTTTTTGTAGACTAGAATTGACTAGAATTTTTCCGTTTTGTCATCGTCTAATGAAAAGTGCTCTCAAAATAAGACCAAAAGAATTGAGAGTGTAAATAGCGCATTCATTCAATTGAGCAATAGAATGTAAAATCTTATTCCCAGAAGGACAAAGCCAACGAATAAGAAGTATAGAGGAGCGCGGATGGCAGATAGGAGTAGAATTAATAAAAATGCAAGGAGGGAGGAGGAAACATTCGTTGGATGATTAAGAGATGGCAGACATATTTAATAGCACGTGAGAGTAAGTAGCATATGCGCGCGGATGTTTGGAATTCTCTTGCTGCGTTCTCGCGCGCCTGTTGATTCGCTGTATGGAATTGCGAGTGATTACTCGTAAAACGAGCTGATAAAATTTTACGTGCGCCTTAGTTGTGCGATAGAACAAAAAATCGCTTTATTCGCTTTAGCCTCGTATGCATCATTTAATCCCTTTTTCTTTTCTATGCAGCGTGAAAAAAAGAAATTGGATTGAAGTTAATATTTTGACATGTAGAGCAGTTATGTAATTGTACGTGTAGGCACTATGCATAGTTTTGGAAAAGCATAATTATCAATTTTGCTAATCAATAGCTCGAATATGATAACGATTCTCTATATGTTTAATTTGCAAATCGATAGATGTTCGATAAAAAATTAGATATAAAGCGATAAGTCAACGCTGTTTTAATTATAAACATCTTACAATTAGCAATAACTCCAATTTCCTATGTATATATATATATATATATATATATATATATATATTCATATGTTATATACGCTAATTTCGTCTTTATTACGTAGAATTCTTTTGAGATGAAAAACAACAATAAAAATAAGGCAAAACTGTTTAATATGTGAATTTTATTGCTTAAATTTTATAAATAATTATTCTAATAATTTGTACGAAAACATCGTAGGATATCAAACTATTGATATTCATAAAAAAAAATTATACGTAAAAAAAATTTCCAATAGCATATTAATTTTTATTCAATGAATACATCAAGAATTTAATCAAAATTAACATATTTGAAATGAAATTGAATACACAGTCATCGACGACTCGAATTTTCTCGTTCAACCTCACTAACGTTCACTTATAGATCACACACACACGCGTGAAGTTGAAATTTTTATCAACATATGGCGAAGCTTTTGTTATAAAGTTTATGATTTTAATTGAAATACCGGGAATATATGTGAATAATCGCACAATTATCATACTCGATTTAATATAAACGCATATTATATGAAACTCAAAGAATTGATTTTAAAATAATGTGAAAAAATATTAATTTCAGTTTGTTATAATTATTCGCCATTGCGGGATAAATGAAATTGACTTTTTACTCCAATTTAACCGATGATTATATATAGATGATAGATCAATATTCAAAATTAATGATTAATATATTAAAAAGATATTTCCCTCAATACGTATGTAGAGGCTGTAATTTAATAATTTAATTATTTATGTCACATTACAGCTTGGCACTTCCAATGCTAATTTCTAAGAATTTTAAAGGCAAAAATTAACTAGTTTATTAAGTTGTTGTAATGACAAGTACTATTTAATATAAATTATTAAATACGTTTTTCCATTCAAGAAAAAGCCAAAGCTATTCGCTTGATAATTCGCTTGATAATTAAATTAATAATCCATGTCTGTATAATCTGTAATAATCCAGTTGCGAAGGTAAGTATTTAGCCACATAAAAGAAAACTTATTTATATAATTTATTATGATGACGAAATAAGTAAACAGTTTTTACACAATGTGCTGCATTTAAGACTGTAACGAATCTCTCTCTCTCTCTCTCTCTCTCTCTCTCTCTCTCTTATATATATATATATATATATATATATATATATATATATATATATATATATCTTTTGATACGTCGTTCATTTTACTTTTGTTTCTATTTCGTACATCAAAGTGTTAATGAATATAAATGTTTGCAAACAAGATTCGCGTTCTAAACTGTTGGTCTTTGATTTAATACTCTAAATTTTTTATGTTCTCCGTCTAGCTTTTATAGTGCTTTCGCTAGTAATAAAATTCGATTTACGTTTAAAAGTGTTGTTTTCTGTAAATCTTTGTTTTAAAAACAAGTTTATCTTAAGATTGTTATTTAATATATCTGTTTATTGTTACATAATCACTGTAGAATTTATATCGGAAAATTCATTATTATTTACATAATTATTTATTTTGAATCTATTTATTATCATGAAAATTAAATGCATCATAAATATCATAAAATGCATATTTTGTATAAATTATACCATTTGATTAAATTATAAAATTAATAATACGTGGGTAAATAATATATTGAGCGAGATATAGTCTCAAAAACTTTATAATAATATACAAAATATTCTTTTCTTATATTATAATATCATTCAGATAGTTAGATACTCGAGTAATTTTTTTTCTTTTTTATTTTTTCATTATCCAATGTCTTTATTTAAATAAAAGGAAAGTTAAAGGGTAAAGCTGGAATTTGAAATGAATTATTGAAAATGCAATTCAAATAATTATTTGCAACTAAATTACACTCGTCATTGATATCAATTTCAACCTTACTGCGCAAATTTATTCAAATTACGAATAAAAAAACATTAAAATAATAATAATTTTTCAATATAATTTGAATCTTGAGCATTGTCAAATATTTATTTTAACGACGGCAATTAAATAAATATCCATGCAGCTTTAAAGATTTTTATGGCATATATATGCCATAAAAAATATTAATGATATTTTTCATTCGACTATTAAGTAAATATTAGGATGGACCATCTTGCCAATCCTAAAAGAAGTAAAACATACTTCAGTAAATACTTAAAAATATACTTAACTTTATAAAAAGTCTTTTATAAATTATTCCGACTGTCTTTGTACTTCATCTATAGAAATCAAGTATTTATTATTTGCCGAATGTTATATTCCCTATTTAAAATTCCTTATTTAAAATATTAATGTAAGGATAGCTTTATTTTTATATAAATTATTTCAGATTCACTTATCACTCTTTTCTGCATAGTCTTATTTCTGTTTAATGTTTAATATTTCGAAGATATTTCCTAATATCTATAATAATTATATTACTACATTTATTTTCGATATTTAATGAAATGTGTAAATCCCAGCCATTACTATCTGATCTTCCATACCGACAGCAAATCAATAAATTTCCATAATCAAACAAATATTTTAACTCTCAAAATTATATTAAACAATAATGTTTTGTTGCACAGGATCGAGTGTATAGATGGGTGGATGTTTGCACGTAAGAATGACAGATTTATGAAATAAGCAATTAGTTAAATTTCAATATACGCGAGCGCGCGCGCGCGCGCGCGCACACACACACACACACACACACACACACACACACATATTAAATATTTAATAATAAATACCATAGTTAAATATAGTCTTTCAATATTTTCTGATAAATTTGATATGAAATTATATTTTTAAACAAGTATAGTATTTGAAAATTAGCATTCATATAAAGAAATCTGACAGATTAAAAAAACAAAAATCATTCGTTCAAAATACATCTAATAATTTTTTTCATTTACAAAATTTACTTATGAATTTATGTAAAAAAGAAATATGGTAAAATTTTTTTAAAAAAAATTCATTTAATAACCAACGATACATTTTTACTCTACTTACATTCATGTATTATTTGCAAAGTTTGTATGTGATTGTGAGAGTGTCGCTTTACTTGCAATAACAATCACTAATCAAATAATCAGCAAATATACATAGAAGGAACGGGCAGACATTTAATTGTAAAATTAGAATAGTTCTATTATTTAGATTTTTTTGTTTTGGATTTGTAAACTCAATATTACGTTCTTGGGGTTTGCTTGTTTCATGATATTATACAGCCGATAAACATAATATGATAAGCTTGTTGTAATCATCGCTTGCTTAATTTATAATCTCTTAATTCGTTATAATGTTTGAAATATATATATATATATATATATATATATATATATATATATATATATATATATATATATTAATACATTGGAGTGACCATCGAGCAAGATTTGTAATAATTGAGATTATCCTCTACTTCCTCCGTTGAATTATTCGATTAAAGTTTTTCCGATTAATCCGTAATGTCGTGGTACCCCGTTACAAAAAAATAATTTTAAATTAAATCGCTCGAATATTAATACTCCGCAACTATCAACCTCGCCGACCATTATTGCAGAAGAGTTGTGCCAATGGCAAACAATTGGCACAACAGCTTTTCCGCTTGTTTCAAATTCCTCGTCCCACCGTACAACAATGTTCAGGCTATCACTCCTCTACAATATCATCTCAATAACCGGGTCATACAAAATAATCACAATCACAACAACAAACAACAAACAACAAACAACAAACACGAAACAACTATAATAGTAACCAGTAGCAGTAATAACGGTAATTGTAATTGTAATTTTTATATTTATTTTAATTTTAATTTTAATTTTAATTTTAATTTTAATTAAAAATAATGCATAATAATGATGATAATGATAATAACAATAGAAATAATAGTACTAATAATATAGGGACAGAAATGTTAATGATAATGATAATAATGAGAGAAGAGAAAGAAAAGGAGAAAAAAAAAAGAAAAATAAATCCAGCTCGTGGGTCTTCGATAATAAGATAAAGCTAAAGAACACTCGAGAGTTCATTGTCCCAGATCCGCGGGAATCTCCTTGAAGCACATTACGTTGACAATTGCTCGGCAGCGTTGTGCACGTTGTCGTGCAAGTGACGTGCGACCATTCAACAGCCTGTCGCTCGCCAACACGCGCGCTCGCGAACAGCCGCGAAGCCCTGGAGAACCCGAGAGAGGGCCCGGACACGGGATTGATTATCATGATCGGCACTTACCATATGAAGTCCTTGCAGTGGCTGCAGAACGTCGGCTGCCTGAAGAATCGCGGCATGAAGCTGTGATTCTTCACGACGTATACGTTCTTCTTCTTCAAGGCGCCCTTGCGGCCCCGCAGCTTCTTGGCGAAGGCCGTGGTCGCGTCCGCGGGCCCTAGGGAGTCCTCCTGGTTATTATCCTCGTTGTCCGCCATCTCGCTACCCGGTTTACGGATCAAGGCTCTCGCGAATTACGGACCCTTGACCTTCGTCCCTCCGCGGGACGTTCGCGCGCTCCGGACGACGATCGGAGTCACCCGGGTGCTGAATCGACGATGGGCCTCTTCGCCTCGGCCGCTCGACGAAGCAACTGGTGCGCTCACCTGTCCGATTTATTTGCCACCGATTATTCCAATTTGACGTGTCCGTCGCCCGGTGCACTCCCTTGGATCATTTGTTGCAAGGGACGGACGGGGAGGGAGAAGCGCTAGAGAGATCAACAAGCAAGGCGCGCGCACGAGCGAGTGAACGAGCGGGCGCTCGTGCGAAAACGAGAGAAAGAAAAATAGAGAGTGCGTGCGTGCGTGCGCGCGCGCGTCTGTGTGTGTCTGTGTGTATGCGTGTGTGTGCGTGCGTGTGCGTGCGTGTGCGTGTGTGTGTGCGCGCGCGCGTGTGTTAGTATATTTGGTTGTAAGAGAGAGAGAGAGAGAGAGAGAGAGAGAGAGAGGGAGAGAGAGAGAGAGAAGGACAAAGAGAGGAAGAGAGAGAGCAATGAGGGAAAACGACACAAGCACCGAACAATAATTATGCACACACTGTTGCTAATGTTGCTGTTGTTATTTTTTTTGTTGTTTTTGTTGTTTTTGTTGATGATGTTGGGTTGCTGCTGCTGATACTGTTGCTGTTGGTGCTGCTGCTACTGCTCCTGCTGCTGTTGCCGCTGCCGCTGCTGTTGCCGCTGCTGCTGCTGCTGCTGCCGCTGCTACTGCTGCTTATGCTCCTGTTGTTATTGTTATTCTTATTGCGATTTTTTATTTTATTTTTATTAGGATGTTTGGTCGTGATCGTCGTCGTCGTGGTCGTCGTCGTGGTCGTCGTCGGCTGTCACGCGAGAGAAGCGCAGAGACAGACGTGTGCGTACTCTGCGCGATCGGGTGGCACACAAGCTCTACTACTCCCGAGTCCGAACTCCCAGTCGACTCTTCTCTCACTCTTTCTCTTTATCCCTACCTTCTTCCTCGTTACTCTCCCGGCTTTTATCCCCACCAGGCGCTCTTCGATTCCCCTCCGATTCTCCTTCCGAATCTTCTGTCATACTCTAAATCTCTCCGTCTCACTCGTTCCCTACCTCTATCCCTCTTAAACAAACGTGCACATAATTATGCGCGCGCGCACTCGCTATTTCTCTCCTCTTCTCGCTCTCCCTATTTCTCTTCATCTATCTCCTTTTCTCAATTCCCGCCTCTCGTATTCTTTTATACATGATTCTTCTTCTTTTATTACTCGTGCTATTCGCTTCAACTCTCTCTTTCAATTCTCTCTCTCTCTCTCTCTCTCTTTCTCATTATCTTATTCGTACTACGTGTGTGGGCATGTGTGTACGTGCAGGTTTGTGCATGCGTCTTTCTCTCTTTGCCATACCAACCGCTTCTGTTACTACTGCGAGTTTTTCTTTGGTCAGTGCGACTCACATATCTCGCTTGCACTAACAGGGAGCTAACCTTTTCACATACGTTCACCGCGTCGAGGTCCCTTACGAGCGACGAGTACGTCCGATATATAATTTTAGATTCCCAGCGCACACTCAGCACACAAGAGCTCGTGTATCGATGCGCTGTGCGTGCACGCGCACGAGTGTGTGTGTGTGCGTTTGCGCGCCCGTACGCTCGTACACCTGTGCCTACGTATGTGCCTATGTTGGTATTTTGTGTGTGTGTGTGTGTGTGTGTGTGTGGATGTGTGGATGTGTGGATGTGTGTGTGGGTGTGTGTATGTAAATACACGGGCGCTTGTGTATGGCTCAGGGCTTGCTACTGCTCAACCAGCGCCGCGCACTCAAATATCGACATCTCTCAACTCGTGTGGTTAGCGAGCTCCGCGAATATGTACATACCCGCATTTATGCATATATGCACGCCTACACATTCTCATGCACACGAGTGCACGCTCACGTATACAAGCGCATCCGTACGCAAACACACGTAAGCGCACGTGCGCGTACATGACAAGCACACTCTCCTGGGAATAGATCCACGAGCCTATCCATAGAGATCGTAAGGATCTTCTCCATCTCTCTTGTACTCATTATCTCCTCTTCGCATCCCCTACTCTTTCGAATCCTGCTTCGGTGCATTTATCTTCGCCCGATAGTTTGTCATTTCCCTCCAATCATTGCATCTGATATTGTGCTTTCCGCTCTTCGAATCATCACACATATATTAGTCCCTCCCCCTCTCCCTCAACCTATCATCCCCCAATGTACCTAACTATCAATGCTCTTTTCTATCCTACAATAGTTTTTTTTTTTATTTCCATCCGGTCCCTTTCTAATTACCCAATCTCGTAATTTTTCATTTATATTAAATTTTATAACTAATGTACTTATTTATCAGTATCACTTTTCATTTTATAGAGCACTTTACATACTCTCTGTCTACTTTATTTTATTTTAACCTTCATATTGTATATTTTTACGTCCTATTTATCTCTCTCTCTCTCTCTCTCTCTCTCTCTCTCTCTCATTTTATCTATTAATCCATCTATCTATCTGTCTGTAAATCTGTCTGCCTGTCCATCGATCTATTTATCTATCTATCTATCAATCTATACAGATTGCTTTAAATATGCACTCGTCTATACGATGTGCATATTTATCTATTAATCAACTCACCCATCACAGTTTTGTTATATTTTTTCATTTGTCTATATAAAGTATGTACATGGGGTTTAACTTATTCTAAAACGTGCTTCCGTTTTCCGAACTCTGACATATTTTCAGCCATCACTGCTCTGCAAAGTGTAACTTCGTCCTCTCTCTCTCTCTCTCTCTCTCTCTCTCTCTCTCTATTTCCATCCCCTTCTCTTCTTGACCATCCCACTCTTCTTCTTTTATCCACCCTCCCTCCCTCTCTCTCTCCCTCCCACCCACCCGCTATCTCTCTCACTCACACTCTCAATCTATCTATCTCTTTATCCTACTCACCTTTACTCAACCTCTTTCTCTTTATCTTTACTTCTTATTCTATTCTGCTCTTCATCGTTTCATCTTCCTACCTCTTTTTCATCCTCTTCTTCTGTCTCCTTTTCTCTTACTACAACAACAGCTTATATGCGCGGAAAATCAACCCCCGGCTACGCGCAGCCTCGAGGTCGTTCCGGGGCAAGAGACATAGATATATCATATCAGAGAAAAAAGTCGAAAAGACAGATGAATAAAAAGATAGAGAAAAAGCATAATCGTGGAAACAAAAGTGGGGAGGAGGAATGGGGAAAAAGATGAAATGAGAAGGTAAGAAACGAAAAAGAATTTTGCAGGTTTAATAGTATAATATGTAGATAAAATAAGATAATGACAAGAATGAAATAATATTTCTAAAGAATTTCTGTCTTTATAATCGATACATTCTTTATATCGATAATTTTAATTAAAAAGTAGTTTCTACTACTGCAAAAAATAATTAAGAATAAATTAAAACCTTTAGAGTGTGTAATACACCTATATAAATCTAGAAATAATAAAAAGAGAACAAATAAAGCAATATTGATAATGCAAAAGTGTTAATGTATATTAGCGATTATTATTAAAGTGTAAATAATCAACTTCGTAATCAATGAAATTTTTGAAAATATTGATAATATATATATATAACAAAATTAATTTCATTATCCTTAAGAATATATATTATATTAAAATAAACAAAAATATTTCATTTTCAAAATATGTCATGTCTTTTGTTAATTAACATATTTACCGATAAATTAGATATTATTATAATTTGAGTCTATTTAATACTTTATACAAATAAATTCGAAATAATATTATTTACATATAAGTCTCAATTTATAAAATATAAATTAAAAATTATCTGACTTTTCAATATATTATGCACGAATGTATTAAAACTACTCGAATAATTTATATAATTAATATATTCTCCTTCATAAACATAATACAATTGTTATTTATATAAATATATTTATTTATTTAAAATAATTCCAAAATAATTTACATGTATTTTTTATAAACAATACTTCGCACATAATCCTATACACATAAATTCAAGTGAAAATTATTTCTACTTAGTAAAATAGCAATAGTAATGGTATTAGTAATAGTAAAACACCTTATAAAGATGATATAAATTAATATTTAATATAATAAAATTAATGTAATAATAAGGTTAATTGAATAGTGTTGATATTATATAATAGTACGTTACGTTAACGCGAGTGTTTAACATTTCTATAAAATCGAATAAATAATGAAAAAAATTTATATTTAGATATTTGAATAAACAACTAATTTTATCAAAATACATGAGATATCAATAAAAAAAGAATAATAACAACGAAAGCGCTTAATTTTATGGTGACTTTCTAAAAAATTATTACATATTAATTAAATGAAATTAGTGACAAAAATTTCATTTATGTAAAAATCTTAATATATATTAACCATAATTAACATTAAAATATAGAATGTAAGGATAAGAGTTCAAACGTCAAAATTAACTAGTTAATTAGAAATTACGAGTAATCATTGTATGAGTTTGTCATTTTACATTTTATTATGATGCAACATTGTCGGAGTATTTCAAACAAATTATATCCGATACAAATTTCATTTTTATCTTAAACGTTAACATTTGTTATTTATAAATTTTATATTCTGTACTATAAAGTATACGATTTAATGATGAAGCATAATTGTAAAATAATAAATTAAAAAAAATATATACTATGTACTACCATTTGGACTTTTAATTGGCTCTCGTTAAAAATAAATATACGAAAATAATAAAGTAAGGGAATTAAAAAAAAAAAAAACATACTAATTATATTTTTTAAATAATGTAAAAATAACAAATAATATGAGTAAATTCTTCAAGATTTTAATATCAGAACATTAATTATCATAATATATGACGATTTAGGGTAGAGAGAGAAAAAAAATTGAATAAATTGCTATTAAATAACTTATTGCATTAAAAATGAAACCTACTGTTACGTTATAATTAATGTATTTTTAAAACTGCCGTTTTATATGAAATACGTAAACTTAGTAGTATTTTAATTTGTTACTTTTTACTTATAAAAATACTTTTAAATTTTATGCGAAAAGTTAGTCCATTATAACTAATTCTTATGAATAAATTTCATGAATAGTGCTTTTATTTGAATTAATATTTGATTATAATGAGTTTAGTGTATATATTTTTGTTCGTGCAATTAGATTAACTAATCCGACAACGAATAAAATAAAAAGAAATCCATTATAATATAATGAATCTTTCTCCATAAATTTCAATAAATCAATTTCAGATATCAGAACTTGTGGCATGTGCTAACCGATGATACTTTATTTATAACTCTAAACAAAAAATCGTATATGCAAAGCAATTGTATAAACGATTATTCTGGTATATAGTTAGTTAAGAGATTTTGCCAACGACATTTATCGTCCAGTATTAATAAAATTTTAAAATCGAGCGATTCTGTTTATGAAGCCCAAAGTGACTTGAAGCATTTATCCGCGAAACGTGAGTACATAAATTTCAATGTTAATGAGCTTCGGCTTGCTAATCCAAGACTCATTCTACTTGCACAAGCTCATCTACGACGTATAACAATTTCGTAAAAGAAGTTTTTTTCAAGCAT